TCATTACCTTTCATTTGGTATATTTTTTTCATAAATTTAACCCTTAACCTGCCCACAAGAGGGGATTTAAAATGAAAACTTTTTCACAAAAAATTAATTTTTTTAACTTAAATTTTGAAAATGTTCCGGAAGGTCTGACACTTTTATATATATCTTAAATTAAAGCTAATGTAATATGCTTTATTATGAAAAAAAAAAAATTGACCACTGGACTTCGTGGTGAAAATGGCTACCAAATGCTATATTAGTATTATTTATAAATTTATAAGTATTACAAAAAAATTTTACAGCACAATGATTAAAAATGCTGAGGCATGTATATATAAAATATAAAATTAACTTTGAAAACTGGTAAATATATCTTTCAAGTTTACTGAGGAAATTTTATAGAATTAGATATCCCCTCTGTATCCCTTTATTTGAGGTTGATGTTATTGATTTAAAAACCCAACCCAACCCAACTAGTATACTGCCACAGTATACTTCGGCACCAATCTTAACTGATGTACCGAAATATAAAGAATTATCGGTATATCGTTTTGAAAAAATAAATATAAGCCGGTACTTTAATAACTATCAGACAAGTAGGACATACTAAACCGCTTTGTAAGTATAAGACTTACACTTGTAAAAAATGTTCTAAAGTGGGACATCTTCAGAAAGTATGTAAGACCAAAGCTAAAAACGTTAATAGCTCAGTAGAGGAATTTAAAGACTTAGATTTAAATAATTTGTTTAATGTAGAATCTGATAATATGAATTATGTACAACCATATTGTATTAAACTAATTGTTAATGATGAAGAGATGGAATTTCAAGTAGACACAGGAGCTGGTATGTCAGTTATAACAAAAAAACAGTTTGAACGTTATGAGAATTGTGATATTAAAAACTTATATAAGACCGATGTAACTTTAAAGACTTATAATGGTGCTAGCATTGTTCCTTTAGATATACATAAAGTAAGAGTTAGGTATAAAAATTGTTTAGAATTATTAAAATTATGTTTTGAATAATGGAGGACCACCTATTATTGGCAGGGAATGACTGAACAAATTGAATATATTACCAAAGTGTTTAGATCTTAATTGTGTATTTGAAACAAATGTAGTGGAGAAATTTCTAGCAGTATTTAGTAAAACTTTGGGTTGTTTTAATGATAACCAATTTGATTTGCATTTAAAAGTTGATGTAAATCCGATTTTTTTTATTTATATTGAAATATAAATAAAATACTTGAGTATTTTTTTTTATGGGGAAATCGATTAGTAATTCCTATTAAGTTTAGGCGAGAATCGTTGAATGAGTTACACGGTACACACATGGGTACAGTTATAATGAAGTCTGTAACGAGATCATACATTTGGTGGCCAGGGATAGATGATGAAATGAAGTCATTTCTAAAAGTTACGACCAGTGTTTGGCTAATAGTGAAAATTCTCCAAAATCGATTTTACACAGTTGGCTTTGACCGAAAGAGCCTGGTAAAAGAGTGCATTTAGATTTATTAGGTCCAATTAATAATAAAATATTTGTGGTTATTATTGATGCATTTTCTAAGTGGTTATGGGTCAAACATATGTCTAATATAACGTCAAATTAGGTGTCTTACCTAATTAAGCGCGGAGGACATGTATTTTGGAAGAGACATATAAATCAAATTATAGATAGGTGGGACAACAAAGAACTTGAGTCACAATTTCCTATAATAATGGATAATACAGTAATTACTTTTGCTGATGGTAGCAGTTTATAAGAACCGGTTGTTAGTGAGAAGAATAAGAAAGAGAACATAGAGATGGAATCTGAAAGTATAAAAACTCAAAGACTAATATTAGAAAGAGTAACAGAGAAATTAAACCACCAGTACGTTTAAATTTATAACTTTTTATATATTGTTATTGTCTATAATTAAAACTTTGTTATCAATTAGTTATGATTTTATTTTTGTAAAAAAAAAAATATTATTAATGTTCATAAGTTACATGATGTTGTTACCATTTTGTTTTTACAAAATTAGTGTGAAGGATTGTAATGTATACCAATAATTTTAGTGTTATAATATGTGGTTGTGTAGTTTTATCATATTGTGTTGCAGTTCGTATATCGATGATGTGAATAATACAGAATGTGATATATAATGGAATAAAATATATTATTAAAATGTCTTAGTGTGTTCTTTTTAGCCTTTTTAATCCTATTATGTATTATATGAGTTGAATATATTACAGTTTCTGAAGACACATTCTGTGTTCAAGGGACATACTATTTTAGACCCGAGTTTATTTAGTTATTTGAGTGATGTTTAACAAAATGTAAATGTATTTAATGATACTATGCTAATTCTCTATAATTATAATACAAATATAAAGTTCTTTAATACTAAATTTATTGTTGATAGACGAAAAAGTAGACTCGTGGCCATTGATGAAGACACCTTGGCCAATTTTTTCCATTCTTTTAATATATGCACTGATTGTGTTAAAAATTGGTCCTAAGTTAATGGAAAATCGAAAACCATTCAACTTGAAATCTGTTATGGTAGCTTATAACCTTTTACAAGCTTTGTACAATTGTTATTTGATCTCTGGAGTGAGTGTTTAGCATTATTAATATTTAGTTCATAAAAAAAATTATTATTAAAGTATTATATTCATAATAATAAATTATATAAAATAAAGTTTATTTAGAAAATAATTTAATTTACACACAAATTAATACAATATAGGTGTTTACAGTTCCTAAAGTAATACCACATATTGTATATTATTCATGTCATCCTGTTATATCCGAGAATTATGAACTAATTACGCAAAAAGTAAGTTAACACAATATTTAATTATTTAATTACTATGAACTTTGAACTTTATTAGCCTACTAAAATATATTTTAAATAAAAATTTACATGGAAATGACATAATCTTGAAATTCTCTAAGTATCACCAAATTTTTTTAACCAAAAAAAAAATATCACATGTGAATTACAAAGTATTAAATATGATATATGGTATGGACCTAAGGACTGGTAGATTTCATTAATTAAAAAAACGTATGAGAGGTTGTGTCATCAAAAGAAAAATAATAAAACAGTAGACATAGAGAAAGTGTCAGTATAGGTATGAAAATATTAGGTGGTATTGACATAAGGTGGTTAAAGGATCTATTAATAAAATCATATTAGAAGATAAAATACCAAAACAATGAAAAAATAGTACTGTGGTACCGATATTTAAAGGCGAAGAAAACACACAGAAGTGTAAAGATTATAGAGGTATAAAGCTAACATGACTTACGTCGCAATAATGTAGTCGACACTGATTTTGAGGGTAGAGACTCGTGGGCCCTTTATTAATGAGCAACAACAGGTTATTAAAAAAAAAAAAAAAACCGAAAAGACGAACACAGTAATAATAATCTTCGCATAATATCGTGGCACTTTCGCTGGCGTTGACGACGCGATGTCCGGTATGATCCTTGGGCGTCAAAAAGTTAGCAACTTTGATAGTGATAGTATGCGGGTTCAAATCGGTTCGTCGAGTTCGGTCGTCCAGAGCCGGTGGCGTACATCCTCGACGTTGTTACGTTGACAACGGGAAGAAGACTCCCCGTATCATTTGTCGTCGTCGGCCGTGCGGCACTTGCTAGACTTTGCATCATGGCGTATGACACGCGATGTTGGTCAGTCAAATACTCATAGTAGGGCAACGGCTGATAAAGGTAGCACGACTCGCGGGGCATCGTGTAAAACGAAGCGATAATCTAAAAACCAGATTAAATGCCTGGAAAGTCAATGATTGAGCCACTTTTTTGAGTAAAACAACTAATAGAATAATATAGGAAGAAGAAAGAAAAGAAGAAAGAGCAGTATATGCTATTTTTATACTTGGAGAGACCATAACATAGAGTACCGGGAGAGGCTTTAAAGTGGGCATTAATTTGAATAGGAGTTCCGAAAAAATACATCAATAGAGGATATGTATGATAACTTTTGTACCAAGGTTCTGCTTTATGTCCATACTTATTTTCTCTGGTGATGGATGAAATAAATAAAGAAATATAAGAATAGGTACCTTGGTGCATATTGTTCACTAACAATTATATTTCCTATTGACATAATCTTAATAGGAGAAAATAGGGAGGAAATTAATCAAAGGCTAGAGGTGTGAAGATCACCTTTTAAAGAATAGGGATTAAATATAAGTAGAAGTACGAGTTTGACAAAAGAGTACCCAAAGTAGGTGAAATGAGGAAATCAGCGACAATAAGCAAGGGCGTAATTGAAGAGATTGCAAAGTCTCAAATATTTAGGATCACTTGCACAAAAGAACGGTGGTATTGACGAAGATCTAAGACAAAGCATTAAGTGCGGATAGATGAAGTAGAGAGAAGCGACAGATATGCTTTGCGATAAGAGAATTTCAATGAAGCTGATAGATAAGCTCTTTAAGACTGTAGTAAAACCAGCTATGATGAATGGTATAGATGAACAAGCATTAAACTTATCAGCTAATTGAAATAGCTGATGATAATGTTGAATATTTTTTTTTATCATTCTTCTTCTCTTCTTCTTCCTTGCCTTAATCCCAACTACTTGGGGTCCCACTACCAGGTTTCCTTGTTTCCTGGCATTCTACTCTTACTCTCACCAACAATCTCCTTTGCAGTATTCTTTACACAACTAGCAAATCTATTCTACACATCATTTATGTCTCCCTCGATATTCCACACCGTCCTCTCTTTTGCCGTCTTTACAAACTCTTTTTCATTTTCCCCTTTCAATTTACACCACCGGATCTTCGATTTTTTCCCTGTGTTTCTTCTATTTTTGTTTATTCTCTTTCCGATACACCACAACACCATTATCATCAGGCTATGTTGTGTAGTTACACTCTCGCCTGATATAACTTCACAATCTTTTACTCGATTTACACTCTCTCTCTTCCACATAAAATAATAGATCTGTGATCTATTCCTCCTGCTCTTATAAGTTATATAATGTTCTTTCCTCTTTCTAAAATAAGTATTAACCACAGCAAGATCATACAATACTGTGAAATCTAGGATTCTATCTCCAGCCTCATTCTTCCCACTAAAACCATACCCTCCATGTATTCTTTCATAACCTTTCCTCTCATTACCTACATGACCATTCATATCTCTACCTATCACTGCATCCTCATTGCCCGGTACCTCTTGCATCACCTCATCCATCTCTTTTCAAAACACTTCCTTGTCTATTTTATTACATCTCACTTGTGGTGCATATGCACTTATTACATTCAGCACTTTTTCTTCGAATATCAAGTAGTAATAATATTTATTAAAAGAAAATTGCAAAAAAAAATTTTTTAATAATTATTGAAAATTATACTTTTGCCAGCTAAATATACGTTTTATAAAACTGTGTAGCCCCAAAATGACTCCTTTTTATTATTTAAAACACAGGTTCAATAGCACTCTTTTTTTTTACTAAAAATTCTAGATTTATCACCGAAAATTACATACTTAGATGACTGTAAAATGTTATTTAATATGTTTACGACAACTTCCTAATGAAATCTGAAAAAAACAATATTTTTTATTACCTATTTTTAACCTTAATGCGAAATTATTTTTTTACCCTTAAGATAGGTATTCTCTGAATGCAAATAAATTATATAACAATACTGAGTTATCTGCTATTAATTTAAAAAATGGAAAATCATACTAATTTTATTAATTTAATATATTTTTTGTTATAATTTAGTTTTACTTATTTACGTGGCATTTTATTATAACGAAGATATTTGATTTATCAGATACTGTAAGTATATATTTAATTCTATGTATAAATATAACATAATCATATTTTGAAGTAATGTAACAAGCAAGAAAATAGGTTGCAGAAGAATCGATTATTGTATATATTGTATTGCGGTTGCAATAGATATATTAGGTGGTTTAGAAATATATTTATATAAAGGCTGCAGGGCCAGTGTGATTAAGTGAGTATGTAGCGCGGTTATGCATGTAACTGTAGCACAGTGTATCTGCACTCCACCCGCGCTACATAATCACTTCTTGTACTAAAATTAGAGATGGTCATTATCGTATAATTTAAACAATCCATAATTATTTGATAATTATTTCTAACTCTCGACTAATTATTCAAATAATTAATTATATGGATGAATAATCTATGACTATCCACTAATTATTTATTTTGTATGCCATTAAATTAAAATTATCCTGACAAAACTGTCATTGATTTTACACTGTAATAATATAGTATAAAACAATCCTTATATAATAATTGATGGTCAAAAAACTTTCAAGATTTAATTCATTTTATGAATAATCTAAACTATGGATTTGAAAAAAATATATTAATATATTATATTATAATAATATACTATCGAATAATTCATTTATGCTCATCACTAATTAAAATGCTTGTAACTTAACAATACTTATATTAAAGTTATTATTTATCCATTCTTCCAAATATTTTTGGAAAAAAATAATTTAAAAATGGCTATTTTAAAATTCAAAAATATAAAAAAATTGAATTATTTTTTCTTATTCGAAAAAAAACAATAAAAAATATCGTAGTTTAAATCGCAGTAAGACGTATCTCAATTCTTGCAAGTTTTCAGGACGATTAAAAAGCAATTTAGATTGTACATGTTTTAATATGAGAGTTGATTTTACTTTTATAATATAGAATGAAACTATGAGTGAAAAAATGTATAGTAAAAAATGTCCAGATATACTTGTTATAATATTATTGAATATTCAATTCATCAATTTTTGAGATAAGCCTAGTGGCAGTATAAGCAACGACATGGTTTTAACATAGTCCAAAACTGTAAAAATGATTTAAAATGAAAGTAACAAAATATACTTAGTAAATTAGAAGTTATAGAATTAAAAACAGACTGGAACATTCTGTATTTTAATTTGAACAGAGTTGCTCAATATGAAATTAATTAAAAATGAAACATTTAATATGATTTTTTTTTAAATGCAGGTATTTTTTGTTTTGAGGAAAAAACAATCTCATATTTCTTTTTTACATGTTTATCATCATATGAATATGGTTATAACATCTTGGATATTTTTGCGATACATTAAAGGTTAGTTAAATTTTAAAATTCATCGTAAATTATGATTAAATATCAATCTCTATTATACATTTTATATATATATACTGACTTATATATATGACTAAAGACAAAATAAAACAATGAACGTTAACGAACCCGTGTGAGTACCAGAGGATACTGCGTTCATTCACTTATTATACTAAATAATTAAATATCAATTTCATACTAAATTTAATTACTTCAATAAGTATTTATTTATGTGCTATACTTATAAATCATTCAATGTAAATTTTTATTCACATAACATTTATGAAAATCGGTGGTGAGTCATTGCAATCTCCCTTTTAATCAATAATTGAAATTAAAGTAAAAAAAAACGTATCGGATAATAAGGATAAGTATATACCACTTACAAAAAACAATTTTAATAATGCATACTTTTTTCAAAAAGTTATTGCAATACTTCTTCTTCTTCCTCGCTTTAATCCCAACTACTTGGGGTCGGCCACCCTTATCCTAAACTTCCACTTGACACGATCTCCCACATCATTTAAACTTACATTAGCTGTCCTCAAATCGCATTCAATAGCAGACCTCCATCTCTTTTTTGGTCTTCCTCTACCTCTTCTTCCTTCAACATTTATTTCTATAACTGTTCTTACAGCTTCCGATTCTTCTCTCCTCATAACATGACTAAACCATCTAAGTCTATGTTCTCTCTTCTTATCCACGATTGATGCTACACCTATACTCCCTCTGATATGCTCGTTCCTTATTCTATCTTTTCTAGTCACTCCACTCATCCATCTAAACATTCTCATCTCTGATACACATATTTTCTGATCTTTTCTCTTGTTAACGACCTCACACTCAAAACCAAACATCATAACTAGCCTTATTACAGTCTTGTAGAATTTACCTTTCATCCTCATTGGAATTCTTTTATTGCATAAGACGCCAGACGCTTCTCTCCACTTAAACCACCTGCACTTAATTCTGAGTCTTACATCCAAAAAGTTATTGCAATACGAAATCGAAATTTTTAACACGAAAATAGCATGTTTTTTAACTACAGTACCCCATTTACACATAAAATATCAGTCTTCGACATAATATTTTAGAAATCTTTCCCATAAGCTGGGATTCAAAATAATAACTTTTGCACAAAACGCGAATTTTTGAAAAAAAATGTTTTGAAAATACTTCGACCTCAAACATATGTTAAATTAAACAACCCAACTAGACATTGGATGCATATTTATTCTTATGCACACGTATTCTTTCAGAATTTCTAATCATCTTTCAAAACTTATTAAGCGTTCAACAAATTTCCAAATATTTTTGCAAATTGTTTAAAAATGAAGCGTCTGTTAATAAAAAACATTTTACACTTGAAACTTTAATTTTCAAATTATTCATCTATTCTCAAATAAGTGGTTTAAACAGTAATTAAAAATAATAAATTTAAACTAATTAATTTTTTTTTTAATTTAGCTCATAACGGAATATTTTGTGGACTTCTCAACTCGTTTGTCCACGTAGTAATGTACAGTTATTACTTTTTAGCAGCTTTAGGGCCACTCATTCAAAAATATTTATGGTGGAAAATATATATTACTCGTCTACAAATAGTAATTATACAATACATAAATATTTTTATATAAAGATAATAAATCCTAATCTTATTAAAGAGGACACTATACCAAAAAATTTGACTTTAAAACATGTATACGAAAAAAGGACCCAAACTGGATTAATAAATTTCACATTAAAAGAAACTAGATGGGTTTTATTTTTTCGAACCAATAATATAATAAATTATTGTATTATTATATATAATTTTTTCGATTAAAATTTTATATAAAAATTCAATTGTACATTATGTTTTGAAATTGTATTAAAACATTTTATGTAATTTTGCATAGAAATAATATGCATGTATATATAAAGTAAATTTACATTGGTATCATGTTCTGTTAATAAAAATAAATTACAGAGAAAATTATAGTAATATTTTTTATTTTGTCACAGATTCAATTTATAATTGGATTACTCTACATGGCATATTTAGTGATAAACAATTGTACTTTTCCAAAAATATTTTCGTTTTACATGACAGTTGATGTTTTATTATTTTTGTATTTATTTTTGAAATTTTACAAAAAAACTTACAGTGAAAAAACTAAAGATCAATAAATTTACAATACTGAACTCACAGTAACCATTTGATACTAATTTGTAAGTATACAAATACAAAATTTTATGACTGAATATTAAGTTTTTTTTATATATTTTCAGAAGCCTTCCAAAGTAATTTAATATAACCTTATATCAAGTCACACATTAAAATTAGAACTCATGCTCGAAACAATAAATAAAACTACATTAAAGAAAAAAATTATACAAAATTAATATTTTTATTCCTTAACAAAAACTTAAATTTAAAAATATTTAGTAGTATTTATAGTATCAAATTCATATTAATTTTGTAAAGAAAGATGTATAACATATTGAAAAATTGATAGAATAAAATAGGTTTTTATAGAATTTTTGTCTTTTATTCAATTTATTGAGATTAAGAAACATTCTTACTTTACTAAATAATTATATTTAAGTTTTATTTGTAATTAATGGTAAATATTTTGATACTAGCAAATTTGTTGTTTAATTTTTTTTTATACTTCTATATTTTTATTATAACATATAAAATAAATTTTGTCATTATAATTATGATATATTAATACATATATGTATATTTATATACTACAATTGAATTTTAAAACATTTTTAAAATTTCTTAATAATAAATTTAATTATTTAATATCCTAAACATTTAAATTATTTATACATTTTGTACAATGTCACTATTATAATAGCTGTGGTAACTATTACAATATACTTGAAACTAGATGATTGGTTTTGAACATTTATTTTGTCAATGCCCATATAATCCACTTTTTTTTTTTTAATCTGTTTATCTAAAATAATGAATATTTTATTTTCTGTAGATTTAATTTTTTGTAAATACATTTTAGCTTTTTCACCTTTTTGAGGATCTAGATTGTAACTATGTGTTCCTAAATATATAAGTGATGCGTCTAAAATATGTAATTGTCTAACAATAATAGCTAAAAACTGAATTAAGTTTTCAGCATTAAAGTCTTTTTTTTTTTTAAGTCCTAATGATTGATTAGACCAATTCCAAACATGAAAAGTTTTTAGAGCAGTTTCCATGAGTTTGCGGTGTGGTGATAATGTTATGCCCATCTCATTAAATTTAACTTCATTACCAGTAAGTAATTGTTTAAAAGAAATGGATTTAGAACATATTCTGTCAATATATATATCCATTGATAGATTTTCCAAGAATATTTTAATATCTGTTTTAAATCCATTACTCAATTCATAAATTACTTGATCCCAATAAGTGTATTCATCAGAATCATACATTTCATGTTGATCTTTACTGTAGGCTGTGCTTAAAAGATTTAAAATCTCAGTCATGCCTTTATTTTCAGCAATTCTATGAATTGTTTGATACCTTTTGTCTTCAGCATCCTTGTCAGCACCATGTGATAATAGAAACTTAACAGTATTAACAGAGTTACAACGTACTGCAAAAAATAATGCTGTCTCACCATTTTGGTTATTCTTAGCTTCAATTTGAGCACCATTGTGTACTAACATTTCAACTAATTTTGACCAACCATTAGAGCAAGCATACATTAAAGCTGTCATTCCAGACCTATCTTTAGCATTAATGTCCATATTGTAAGGCAACAATAACTGTAAACATTTTAACAATTTATCTTCAATACAAACATTATTACAATTGCATACACACATAATAACATTGTGACAATCATAAGATATTGTGGGATCAGCACCATTATCTAAAAGATATTTCATAGCATCAATTGAACCATTAAAAGAAGCATACATTAATGCTGTCCATGATCCGTGCAAGAAATTATTGATTTCAATAGAACTAGATGATAAAGTACGAATGATTTCTTGTACATTGTTTGATTGACAAGCATACTGAAGGGTTAACTGAAAATCTTCTACCTGAGGCTGAATTATAACATTTCTATGAGGTTCATAATCACCATAGTCATCGTAATCTTCTTCGCTTTCCTCTCCAGCAGGAACAATATTTTTATAGCGGCTCATAACAGATAAACAGTTTCATAAAACTGCATTAGTATTATTAAAAGCAATCGTAAAACGCGTATTAAAAGTTTTAAATTATCGTTATAACATTAATGCACCTAAGTGGATAATTTAAATCTAGATAAGAACACTTTTATTAATTATCACCTACCATGGTTACTTATATTTTTATAAAACTAAAACATGATACTGTGCATTATGTTATCATGTATTTTTACTGATTTATTATCACATTCCACAAAAAAAATTAATGTTAGTACACTTATTCATATTGTGAACTGGTTTAATTATTTTTATGTAAAGATGACTACACCTAGATCAAAATCACCTAAGTCTCAGACTTCTTTCAGAAAAGATGACAGCAAAGAAGAAACATTTTGGGATAAAATTGGAACATTAGGTCGTAAAAAGCGTATTAAGGAAGGTAAGCTGTCATCTCATCAACATTGCCTTATATGGGCAACGTTATTGACTGAAGTACATTTAATAAATTTATTGAATAGACATGTAGTTATACATTTTAAATATCAAAATAAAAAATTCAAATTTTAGATAGATGTATTAATTGTGGTTAAACTAATACCTAGTAAAATTGTAATTTAAAACTAATCAGCTAATCTTGTAGGACATATCAGTTCTGAAGCAAAGGTGTGAAAGAGACTAACTTTAATTTGGAATTTTAAAACAATTAATTGCCCTTATTATACTTTGTAGTTGTGATAGTTAAACTAAATTTCTTAATCACTCTTTTTTGAATTATACTCAAACCTATTAACAAATCATAGGTTTTTAGATTTTAGGTGTTATTTAAGCACAGTAAAAAATTTTTTTAAAAACTAAAGACATCTACGCTCTGTTCAAAAAATAAAGTGAATTTTTGAATTCCTTCGGTCTATGGACATTTAATTTTCTATTATTTTTTTCTATGTTGGCATACTTGTCCCAAATATATGTTCAAAGTTTCAGCAATATAGCATTTTTTATTTTTTTGTAAAAGGCATAAAGGTTAAAAGTGTTTTGAGTTTGTTCACAATTTTTTGCTGACAAAAAAGGTAAATCAAAGAATATGCATCAAATTTTGTGTAAAAAATGAAATTAAGTTCTTTAAAACACTTGCAATGTTGAAAGTGGCATTTGGTTAGTGTATTCTAAGCAAAAAAAGTGCTTATAAATGATATGAGCTTTTCACAGAAGTTTGAGAAGAGTTGAATGACAATGCACGCTTTGGACGTCAAAAACCAATGAAAACACTGAAGCAATGAAGAAATTGTTATAGATAATCGTCAAATCACTGTTAGAGAAGTTGCTAAGGATGTCTGAATATCAATTGGCTCTTGCTATCTAATTTTTTTCAGATATTTTGGGTATGAAGCATGTGGCAGCAAAGTTTGTTCCAAAATTACTGAATTTTGTCTAAAAAACCCGTCATGCCTCTGTTATTATATTCACCAGAATTAACCCCCACCCCCAACTTTTTTCTGTTCACAAGGTTGAATAGACCATGAGAGGAAAGTATTTTACTAAAATTAAGGAGATAAAACCAAATTGCTGAAAGAGCTTAAGGACATACTAAAAAGTGTATATTAGAAGTGTCTCGAAGATTGAAAAAATCATTGGCAAAAATGTGTTATAAGGAAATACTTTGAAGGAAACAATAAATGTATAAATAAATTAATATTTTTTGAAAATAATAAAAATTCACCTAATTTTTTTAATAGACTCCATATGTAGTCATTTAACTAATTTATAGAAACCACCTTAATAAGACTGACTAAACTAAATTATTATACTTAGAAATCAATGTACATTTACAAATTAGTGAACACAAATGTAAATTTTTATTACAAGTTAATATATTAACATATATTGCATATAAATATTATTATAGTACAAGAAGTTCAAGAAGAAGGTAAATATGCCATCGACTCTCCAGGAAATCCTGCCCTTGCTGATGTGTCTCCTGAAGAATATAATCTTGGTAAACGTAATTTTAGTTGCAAATTCAATTTTTAAATTAAAAATATTTATGTATGATTTATAGAAGAGAATGAAGAGCGAACAATGGTTGAACCAAAATCATATTCAGATCCAAAATTACAAGAGTTAATGACCATATTAATAGACTGGGTTAATGATGTATTAGCAGATCATCGTATTATTGTAAAAAATTTAGAACAAGACTTATATGATGGTCAAGTATTACAGAAATTATATGGTAAGTTTTTTAATTTACAAAGATCATTTAATTTTCCTAATTAAATTAATAAATTCATTATTTCAATATAAAAAATTAATTAAATTTAAATATTTATGAATAGTTTTCTTTAAAGTATATTTTTATTACTAAATCAATAAATTAATACAAAAAGAGCATTTCCTAGAAAAATATTACTTATTATTAATTGCATAATTAAAAAAACAAGACTTTCTCATAAATTAACTTAAAATAAGAATTAATTTATATAAGTTAAGCATGGAATTTGTAAAATCAGTTATTTCAAAATATGTTTTCCTATTAACATGTTTGTCTCTAATTGCACTTACCCCTTCAATTTTACCTGTATATTAAATATATATCATCAAATTATGTTATTTATTATATGATTTATTTTTATCATTGAAATTTTGTTTATTTTAACTATACTAAAAAAAAATAGAAAAACTAACAAATGAAAAACTCGATGTACCTGAAGTAACACAATCTGAAGAAGGTCAAAAACAGAAACTTTATGTTGTACTTGGAGCAGTAAATAATGTGAGTATTCTAAATGTAATAAAAATCTTTATTTAATAGTAGGGGATAATTAATTGAATTAGTAAAAAGAGTTTACCTCTATTCTTAAAACGATAATAATTTTTTTAGCATTAATCATCTCATAAAAATTAATTAATTTAAGAATATTTATTGATGTTACAATATTTAAAAGAAGTTAGGAAGAATTATTGGCCAAAGTAGTTAAAGTTATAATGAAAAGTAAAAAATCAACAGCTTTTTTAAATACTAGTGAGAACTAATTCTGAAATACTTCAATTCCAAAACATTTCAACTTTTTAAATTAACATCTACCAGAATGGCACTACAATATTTGTATTTGAACTTCAGAAAAGTTCATGAAAATGTACTTATCACTTTTGTGCTTTGACAATTGACATATGTATGTTGACATAATTGAATTTAATCATTTATTTTATATTTTTTAGATTTTGGGATTAACAGGAAACAGATTATCTCAACAAAAATGGAGTGTGGAGAGTGTTCATTCCAAAAATCTTGTTGCCATTTTACATTTACTTGTATCACTAGCACGTCATTTTAGAGCCCCTGTTCGACTTCCTGAAAATGTTACAGTTAATGTTGTGATTGTACAGGTAATTATAATTCAATATTATACTTCTTTCATTTTTTGCAATACTTTTAAAAATATGTTATCTGCATTAGAAACAAAATGGTGTATTAAAAAACAGAACAGTTATCGAAGAAATCACTTCTAGATATGATGATTTAGGTATGCGCTGTGAACGTGATGCTTTTGACACATTATTTGATCATGCACCAGATAAATTAGAAGTAGTTAAAAAGGTTTGATTCGCCAGTATAATTACAAAAAAAAATATTTATGAATATAATTGCATCCATTTTAGTCTTTAATAACATTTGTTAACAAACATCTCAACAAAATCAATATGGAAGCAAGAGATTTAGATACACAATTTCATGATGGTGTCTATTTGACTTTATTGATGGGACTGTTAGAAGGATTTTTTGTGCCATTGTATTCTTTTTACTTATCACCTCAAAATTTTGAACAAAAAGTACATAATGTGAATGTTGCATTTGATCTTATGCAAGAAGTTGGACTGGCTATTCCAAAAGCCAGACCGGAAGGTGAATATGAACATGTTCATGTAGATATTATGTTGAACTTGATTCATACTAAGTTTTAATATAAAAATATTATATACATAGTAGAACAGATGTAACTAACAACTTTTGATACAATTAATATTTCGCTATAATTTTATTTTTTGTCTTAACAATTTTTGAATTCATAGATTACGTTATGACATGGTACCGTGTTTCCCTCAGCCTTACATCACATTATCAACCTTAATGAAAGTGTATAAAAATCTGAATCATAAGTGCACGTTGCCCTAGTGTTAAATTTTGTCTTTATGACGCCTTGGGTCGTTTGTTTAATCTTGCACTATGCCTTTTTTTTCACACAATTTTCAGCAAATTTCTATAACCTGCCGTCTGTGCTATATTAGTTACAAACATATTTTATTGTTATTTTTTTAATTTCAAAATAACTGCTCTTTAGTTGAATTCTTAAAAAATATTTTTATGGGTTATTAGCAATTTTAGGATAAATACATACTGACACAATATGTTTAGCATTGATGACGGTAACATTGTTTCTGAAATGCTTATCTGTAATTTTTTTGTGGCTTTTTGAGTTTAATATTTTTTAGCTTTAAATTAATAATATTTTAAAAGTTATATATAATTTTAAATTTATATAAACTTTAAAAAAGAATTATCTATTTTAATTTATTTAATTATTAATTATTACTTTAAATTTTTATTTCAGATATAGTGAATTTGGATTTAAAATCAACATTAAGAGTCCTGTACAATCTTTTTACAAAATACAAAAATGTATATTAACTATTATTATTAAAACATATGATTTTATATTTTTATTAATTTTAGCACCATTTGTTGTCTTAGCTATATCACAATTTAAAGTTTAAAAAACTTCACAAATTTTAGAGTAACAACTTAACATATGCTGAATTTTTTTTTAATAACACTATATTAAACAAATGTACTTATATATTTCTATTTTTGTAAATTTTGTATAACATTTAAATTTTAGGCAATAATGTTGAATTAAATATTTATATTTTATTTTGTTACAATTAAATAATTGTTTTGTATAAAAGTATACTAATATTGTTTTTTCCTTTTTTCTATTTTGATTAAAATAGACAATTTATTGTAATGATTAAATAAGTTTTTGTTACTACCTTACTTTGAAAAAAATTTTGATTAATTATCATCAAATGGTAAAAAAGAGAATGACAAAAAAAAAAAATAGAAAATATTCTTAAATTGTGAGGCAAGTATAATTTTAAAATATCTTACTTGGTCATAAAAATAATTTAAAACACTTTCATTTAACTATAAAACTAATAATATTTGCTTTTTACTAAAAAAATATTTAACAAAAAAATAATAATAATTTCATAAACTGTTTTTAATTACACGCAATTTATAATAAAATACATTTTAATTATAATTATCAAATATTAGTGAATGATAATATTAAACTGATTGCTTCATTTTAAATCAAACATAAAGCTTTTCAATAGAATCACACCTGATTTTATTATTAAAAAGAAGAAACTTAATTTTTATGTTGGTATTTTGAAAATTAAGTAATGTTTTTGTTAATTCTAACTCTTCTTGTTTTACAACACTTGTCCAGGTGTTTAATGGAAAATATATAGTAGATAATTTTTTTGTTTCTAATTCTGTATCTTTAGTAGTTACAACTAAAAATGTTTCAGAATTATTTACTCTACTACAATATTCCATAACATCACATAGACAAGCACATAACATATGAGCTAATAGTGATTGATTTAAATCTTCATTTGAGTAGTAATTATGTAGATCAGATACTAATATCACATGAGGTACAATAGGACTAGTTTCGTGAATAGAAGAGGTGTACTGAACAAGATCCTGCCAACTTGATAACGTTCTAAACAAAAATTCCACATAAAATTACTAATAAGATATAAAATAAAAATGTTTAACTCATTTATTACAAAAAAGTTATACGATTTAGTGCCTGCACACTAGGTGGTTTAGCTCCATCAATAGGAATTGGCAATGCAGTCATTTGGTTTACTTGAATAAATACAACTTTATGGCCTAATTCTGACCAATGTACAGCACTCTAAAAAATTAAAAATAAAAATTTCTATTCTAAACAATTATAGTAATACCATTTAGTAAACTTGATTAGTACACACAAATAGAATAAAGTATTACTGAATATTAGCTAATAATTAAAAGAAATTATAATTAATTTTAAAATATTCAAATTTATTAACAAATAATTTATTTATCTAAAATTTTATAACCAAAAATGAGTTAAATAAAAGATAAATGTTTGTTCTTTAAAGATGATAAAACAAGTAAGTAGTGCAAGATAATAAATTATGTATTTTCAAAATCAATCAAATATAGCAGTACATCTAATTTAGCATAAAAATTTCTTTAAGTAAACTGTTGCCTACATTAATCTTAGTTGTGGTTAGAAATTCATTTTAAACATGTCTTTGTTATTTTTAAAAATAAAAATTTTAGATATTAGTATGCTAAGGAAAAATGCTCAAATTTCTCTCTTAAATATTTTAAATGTATTACTCAATTATTACCTATTAATTTATAAGAGAATTTATTATAATTCCCATTTCTTTTACAATTATTTTGGTTACAAAATTTTAGAATCATTTTTTTATTTTACTCTATATCATTAGCCTTTTTACTCTATAGTTGGAAAAGATGATGAAAGTGACAATTTTCAGAAAAACTCATATTTCACCCCTTAGAAGTTGAAGTTGACAATAGAAAAATTTTGTCGTGTTATTAGAGTAGTTCTCGTGCAAATTTCAGATTTTAAATCCATTTACAGAAGTCAGAAAGTATCATAGAAACTTAACTCACAATCTTACCCCGCTTTATCATAATATATTTTAATTTAATTTAAAAAAAAAAAACACATTTAAGGCTATACAAATATATAAAAACTATTTTACTATTTCAACATAACTTTAATTTAAATAATATTGTATTAGAAAAACCATATTTATATATTTTAATTTACTGTGTATTAAAATAAATAAATATTAAACAAAAAAAACATACTTCAAATAGTAATGATTTAGAGTATTCAGAAGACCCGCATATTAAAGTGCGTTTCAATTTCAACGTACCCATGATTAGCAATAATTAAAAAAAACATTTAGATAATTAATGATATAGTTTTAATTTTTACTATTAAATGAAATACAAATAACCAAAATAAATAATCACAAAAACACATTTAATAATTAATATATTAATATTTAACTAAATACAATTATAATTAATATTTGGGAGTTTCAATTTTTTAGATAAAATTAACATAAATATTAAAGTTTCATTAACATTTAAAGTAAACTGTTGAATAGAGTAGAATAGAATAGGGCTGATTACAGTAACAATATGTGTATATTGATAATACACTAATAATAATTATTCGAGTTTTGCGATTATCAGTCATAAGTAATAATGTAAACAATTGCAAAAGAAATATTAATCGATTGATCCAAATAAATTGAAACTTACATTAATTGAAGTGGTTTTATAAATATCAAATGGTTATCTATTAATGTGAAATTTATTTTCAAATATGCAATAGTCAAAACTCTAACTCAAATCTATTAAATATAGATACCGAAATATCGATTGTTGACTAATATTAACGAATGACTTATACAATAATACTTGGACAAATAACTTAACCAAATAAGTAATGGTGGGTCTACTTAAAGGTTATCTGGAGCAGCAGCTCCAGAGTGCAACAGAAAGGGCGCTTCTAAAACTTTCTGAGGTGTCTTAGCTGGTGAACCCGATAAAACTCTATAAAATATGTATATGATGTTATTTATCATAATAAATAAAAAAATAAAAAACGCAAAAATATTTATTATATTTACGTTCTTGGTATTATACGTAATCTATTGTTTTAATAATCAAGATATCTATGAGTTATTAGCAGTGGGGTAGCCAGAAAAATTACCCAAGGTAAGCTGAACAATTTTTTTTTTCGCTCGATAAACAATTTTAGAGAGTATAAAATAAAAAATGGCCCGGTACTGAATCCTTTAATATGCTTCTACAAACAGTGTTGTGTACAGACTTGTCACTCGACAAGAACCAACAGAGTTTTAGTTTGACCAAACTTTATTATTTAAATTAAAATTTAACGAACAATTAAATTTTAATGGTTCATTGAATAACTATAATTTCAATTATCAAAGTCATTCGATTATTTCTATCACTAGTCATAACCATGATAATATTATGAGATCCATATGGCAATGATCGAGACCGTTTTTTAAATTTTTGTGTCCTTAAAATTTCAAATCATAATAAAAGTTTACGAGTAAAAACAGTAAACATAAACATAAAAACATAGGACTTAAGAAGCTCCTAGATTAACTTTTTTTCGATAACCACTCTTTGAACTTCTAAATACAATGAAAAAAAGTTAAATAAACCACTATTCTCAGTTAAGAGAAGTTAAAATAAAAAAACGTGTTAAAAAATGAAAAATTGAATATCAGTTCAATTATATAATTACCTAAAAAATATTTTAGTTGAGATTAAATAATTTATTTAAATTTTCAAATTACTATTTAAAAGTAAAATAAAAATTGAAACAATTAAATGATACTATTGTTTATCACAGCATTTGTAGGTTTTGAGAAAATATATCATTTTTTGTTATTATCAATAATTTTAAATAATTTGTTAATAAAATAAATCTTACCTTACTGTAAAGCAAAATATAATATTTTCATTTATTTTAATACTAATTTATCATTCTATTCAATTCATTTATTTACTATATTTAGTAATTTGTGAACTAAATTAGAACTTTAATAATTGTTAAACATGATTTTGTAATACTAACAGAATAATAAATTACATCAACTTATAATACAAGTAAAAATAGCTGATATAATTTAAAAACTGGAATAGCAATTTAATATCAAAATGTTGAGTTTTTCACATATTTACATTTTTTAACAGCGATTATAAGTGTTTAGTCATGACACTAACATAAAAATTATATTTTTAAAATTTCCTATCAGTTATTAAAACTATAGGTCTATACAAAAAAATAATTATAGGGAAAAGTTGAGCATTGATTTTTATAAAATGACCGTCAAATTAAATTTGGAAGGCTTAACTTTGGGATATAGATCTCAAATTTTACAAATACTTCTTAAATATATCTCATTAAAGTATTAAATGGAGCTTTTAATGAGCAATAGATTACGTTATTATCTGATTTTCAATAATTAGCAATCATCTCAAAAATTAAAATCAATCTGAAAATTTTATTGCCAGATTCTAAATTGGCGACAAAATTCTATTCAAAATCTACCACCATATTGTTTGGCTAGGAAAATTTTTTAGTATTTTAATTAAATTACAAGTTACTCAATTGAAAAACTACTTAAATATTACTTAATATAATAAGTAATGAATTTACATTACTTTTATGATAGTAATTTAATATCAATGGAAGTTTTTTTTTCTTTTATTTGTTTTAGTATAAAATTTATTTGAATTAAATCACTTATACAAGTAATAATTCTAATGAAACTTCATTCAAGGAACATAATAAAAAGGAAAACTAACAAGCTTCCATGCAAAATATAAGAGCGAAATCAATGTAAAATACATGTATAATATAAACTTAATATAATTGTTTATTATTATAAGAATTACACTAAAATTACTTTAGCTTGTTTCGTTACTGAATTTGTGATTCTAGTTAAATTACTACCCAACACACTGATAATAATTTTAAAAAAAATTTTTAATAATAATAATTCAATAACGTAAAATTAATTATTAAATTATTTTATAGATATTTATTTAAATTTTTTAATGATTATAAACTGGTCGTACTACGTGAGATGTATACAACCGCCTAGTAATGCCACAATGTAATTTAAAAGGTAAATAGGTCTTAAAAGGCAGAATAACAATAATGTACTTTGTAATTAGATTGAAACATCTTACAACTATGATATATTTTTTAAAAATCAAGAAGGTCTACATGCCGTTCACAATTTGACAAGTATTTTTTCATAGGTTTCATTATTTTTTTAGTTTTTAACTTAATTATAGATAAAAAAAGCTTCGATGTTTATCTTTAATCGCTAATTTTTTTAAGTAAACAATTGTAAGTTAATGATACTTTAGTTTTTCTTTTATATTTTAAATTGTGGTACTTCTCTACTACTATAACATTATCTAACTTTCATTAATGTAGACTGAATTCACAACACTAACAAAGTAGGTATAGTTTTTGCTAACTTAATATTATGTTTTTAAAATTAAACCTTTTTCAGTTCTCTTACATCTACTATCATTATTTCTTTTTTTTTTTCAACTTTTTTTACTTAGAGAATGAGTGACATTGCATGCTACAAATCGCTTAAATTAATAATTCAATTATTGCCTTTTGAAAAACGAACAGTTAATAACAGTGGTTCATACATGTATATACTCATATAGAGCTATAGCATGCACATACTTCAGTGTCTAATAGTTTATTTTATACTATTCGTTGAATAGTATTCGACGGACGGTTGTTGGCTAATAACTGTGCACAATAATATAATAAGGACTTCGATGTATATACCAAAGTACTTTTACTATCACGCACTATTTATTATTTTCGAACAAAAGCACTAATAGATATAAAACACTAATCAACTTTAAAAAGTGTCTATGAACATCATATTTCGTTTATCGATGTTTCATAGCTATTTTGAGTAGTTCAACAAAAATTACCTCAAATTCTTCTTTTTTTTCGAGTAGACGACAAAAAATAGGATATATTTTGCATTAAAAAACAGTTTAATTTTAATAATGCATTGTGTACAATGATCGAGACAAAATTTTTTTTATTTAATTAAAAAAAGCTACAATCTAAAAATTTTTTTAGAAGTCCTTAAGAACTTCAGCACCTTCAAATTACATCGATTGCTATGGTAGGGTAACACCTTATTATTGTCTTAGGTCATGTTCTAAGACTTGGAATCTAATCAATGTTATCAATTTATAATCTAAGTTGATAAATGATGCAATGATAAAAGTTTAATCATAAAAAGTTGACTTTGAGTTGTTCTCAAATTTCTGATATTCAAAAGCATGTCATCACCCGTAAGTTGATTTTTTAAACTATTGGTATTGGTCAAGACATAAACAACCACAGAACTTATAACAAAATTATAATCAAGGATTGATACCTCTATATCTTTTTTAGTTTCAAATGGGTTAGAATCTTAGATTTTTTTTTAATTTTTGGTTACTGTCAGGTTTTTATAAAATCAAAATTTAATGTTTTGGTTAAAAACCCGTATTTTGATTTTTTTTCGACTTAAAAATATACAGTTATAGTTAATACCAGTGGCGGATTTCGAAGGAGTTAGGATGACCCCAAACAAAATTATATTTATATTACACAAACAATGTTAAACACATATATTTATTTTAATGTTACATAGAGAAGGAGCTTATCCTTTCTAAATATTTCATCAGCTCCCAAAAATTTTAGAAACCATATGCACTTTTGTTCCCCAGAAAAGTGTTTAAAATTTGCAATTGGTTAAAAATAGATATTTAACATATTTAAATTCGATTTATTTAATTTAAACAATACATAATAGAAAGTTCTTATTAATTAAGAAAGTTAATAATAGCTAACTTTTTAATATGCATTTATGTAATTGAGTAAAAATTATAACAGTTTAATTGTAAGAAATTATTTAAAACTTTTTATTTCTTCATTTTAAATTAAATAAGTATGAATGTTTGACTGAGAACGACGGGCATTTTCATACTTACACAAAATAAAACAGCTAATTCATAAATCACATATTATGTATGTATTGTGAGAATCAAATTGATAAAAAAACATGCGTTCTGGGATATGTAAATGGCTCAACAGTTTTTATGCAATCACTATTTTTGTCGATTGGATAAAATATTTTCTTATCTATTTATATCATTATGACACACAGTAATCTGAAGTAAAAATTAGCTTATTTAAATTATGAAAAATGGTTTTTTTTTATGCTTTTATTCATATCCTATCGAAAATAAGTAAAGAATTTTAAGATAAAAAATTGATTTTCTTTTTATGTGCAGTGTAGATCGAATGAAAAAACGGTAGCACAATGTGAGTGTGGCACAGTTGAGATTAGAATAGATCATATCTGACAGTGATTAAAATCACTATCATAAGTAACGCTTCGATGCAAATCTGTAGATAGTGTTTAATTTTAAGAAATTGGTGGATTATTGAAAAGCAAAATTCTAACTCAAAAAGAATTACGGAAAAATTGCAAAAATATCATTGCCCCGTTAAATGTTC